AAAAATGCAGAACAAATGACAGAACAATTGCAGAAAAATGACACAACAATGACAGGTAAAATTTAGGAATGATAAAAAACATGACAAGGCCAAAATAACAGAAAAATGGCAGAACCATGATAAAATTATTATTTCCAGGATTCTCAGCCTGTGGCTGACCAAGTTCTTTCTAATCGTAGTAATTAGTGACTTAGTGGGTTTTGGCTGGTTTTGTCATTTTTATTTTGAAGGCATGATCATTTGTGGGCACCAAACCCAACCACTCTGTAAGAGACCAAAAAAACATTTTGTAGAGGTTTTCAGGGTACACGTTGTTTTTTTAAAGGTATTGCGAATTAGCCATTCTATAGAGTACCAATCGTCCCAAGACACTTATCATTTTATGAACATATATATATAATATAATATACATATATATATATACACATATATTTGTGTTTTGTGATGTGACATTTACAAAAGACTGTCGGGTCAGCACGTTGTTGGCAAAAGGATGTCTATATACTTTACTGTATCTGTTTGCAGAAGTTGCATAAAGCAGCTTCCAGCCTCGTCCAAAAAGGACGACTGACAGGGTTTTCCTCTACAAGGCAGTTTGAGTTGTGTTCCTGGCGAGGTGGAAGCTCTACAAAATTGCCCTGGGTTTTTTAACAACTTCTATAAGAACATGAATGCGCATGTTTGATCATTTTTGGGTGAAACTGTCAAAATGGTCGTGGATTCAAGAGATCCAAGGCAGTTGACAGGCACCACCATTTTATAGGCCATGAAGTGCCCAGGGCCTATGGCCCATGGCCCTACCATTTTGTAGGCTGGAGAAGTGGTCCGAAAACAATTTTGTAAACAGAAAGGCTGGGTCTCTACAAAATGGAGCACTGTGACCCCACCCAGGGAATGGCCAGGATGATTTTTGAATAAGAACCAGAATACGTTTATCAAAGGAAGTTGGGAAGCAATCTTCCGAGTTACGGACAAATAGTATTGTGAGATTTTACATCACATAGCAGTACATCACATAACAATAGATCACATAAACAAAGGAAACGAAGGGTTGTGACTGAGGGAAGTGATGACAAAGGGGTGGCGAAGGATGGTAACTGAACTGAGGGAAGTGGTGACTAAGGAAAGTGGCTGCAGATCGCAGTGTAATGGCTGCATGATTGTTGAGGGAAGTGATGGCGAAGGGTGGTGACGAAGGATGGTGACTGAGGGAAAAGGTGACTAAGGGAAGCGGTTGCAGCAGATCGCAGTGTAATGGCTGCATGATTGTTGAGGGAAGTGATGGCGAAGGGTGGTGACGAAGGATGGTGACTGAGGGAAAAGGTGACTAAGGGAAGCGGTTGCAGCAGATCGCAGTGTAATGGCTGCATGATTGTTGAGGGAAGTGATGACGAAGGGTGGTGACGAAGGATGGTGACTGAGGGAAGAGGTGACGAAGGAAAGTGGCTGCAGATCGCAGTGTAATGGCTGCATGACGAAGGATGGTGACTGAGGGAAGAGGTGATTAAGGGAAGTGGTGACTGAGGGAAGAGGTGACTAAGGGATGACGAAGGGTGGTGACGAAGGATTGTGACTGAGGAAGTGGTGACTAAGGGAAGGGGGTGCAGATCGCAGTGTAATGGCCGCATGATGTTTTCATGCTCTGTTGCCATGTGCGTAGATACATGCAGGTTTGCCACGTGATGCTGCAAAACGCATTGTAATGATGCATGGATGTTGCATGGGGTTGCTTTCGGGAGGAAGCCGGAGCAGCAAACCTGTAAAGTGGCTGCAGCCGGCGGTTAAGGGCAGCTCCTGTGTGAGGCGGTTGCGGGCCGTCTCGACGCGTAATCAGTTCTTCCATGGTGTTCTGCAACGTGTCGATGCAAATCGCATTGTAATGGCTGCATGAATGTGCACGTGTTGCTGCAAAACGCAGTGTAATGGCTGCATGAATGTTGCATGGCACGAAACATTGTGTTTCTTCGCGTAAAGTGGCTGCAGCCGGCGATGAAGGGCAGCTCCTGTGTAGCTCCTGTGTGAGGCGGTTGCGGGTCGTTTCGACGCGCAATCGGTTCTTCCATGGTGTTCTGCAACGTGTCGATGCAAGTCGCATTGTAATGGCTGCATGAATGTGCACGTGTTGCTGCAAAACGCAGTGTAATGGCTGCATGAATATTGCATGGCACGAAACATTGTAAAGTGGCTGCAGCCGGCGATGAAGGGCAGCTCCTGTGTAGCTCCTGTGTGAGGCGGTTGCGGGTCGTTTCGACGCGCAATCGGTTCTTCCATGGCGTTCTGCAACGTGTGGATGCAAATCGCATTGTAATGGCTGCATGAATGTGCACGTGTTGCTGCAAAACGCAGTGTAACGGCTGCATGAATGTTGCATGGGACTCGTGTTGGAGAGGAAGCCGGAGCACGAAACATTGCGTTTTTCTCGTGTAAAGTGGCTGCAGCCGGCAATGAACGTATCGACGCGTAATCGGTTCCTCCACTGTGTTCTGCAACGTGCGGGTGCAAATCGCATTGTAATGGCTGCATGGATGTGCACGTGGTGCTGTAAAACGCATTGTGCTGGCTGCTTGAATGTTGCATGGGCATTGCATGGGCTTGTAATAATTTGGGCCAAGAGTAAACGCAGCTTTGAAGTACCAAGTATATAGTACTGGAAAGTATATAGTATATACTTTGTGCAAGCTTTGTAGTGCAAGCTTTGTAGTACAAGCTTTGTAGTACAAAGTAGTACTGGTGAGTACTTTGTGCAAGCGTTGTAGTATAAAGTAGTACTGGGCCGTATTTTGTGCAAGCTTTGAAGTACAAAGTAGTACTAGGAAGTATTTTATGCAAGCTTTGTAGTACAGAGTAGTACTGGGAAGTACTTTGTGCAAGCTTTGTAAGCTTTGTAGTACTGCGACGTGCTTTGTGCAAGCTTTGTCTTTGTAGTACAAAGTAGTACTGCGACGTGCTGTGTGCAAGCTTTGTAGTACAAAGTAGTACTAGGAAGTAGTTTGTGCAAGCTTTGTAGTGCAAAGTAGTACTGGGACGTGCTTTGTGCAAGCTTTGAAGTACAATTTAGTACTGCGACGTGCTTTGTGCAAGCTTTGTCTTCGTAGTGCAAAGTCGTACTGGGACGTGCTGTGTGCAAGCTTTGAAGGAGGGTGCTAGGAAGTAGTTTGTGCAAGCTTTGTAGTACAAAGTAGTACTGGAAGTGCTTTGTGCATCCCCCTTACCATTTCCACTACCAAAAGGGTGAACACGTGCTTGATACCATCCCCTGTTTCGTGGAGACTTCAAGCAAAAAAAAATGGTCCCGTGCACCAGTTTTTGTAGTAAAAGGGCGTGCACTGTATCTTGTAGCGGCGTTCCATTTGGCACTCAAAAATCGGAAATGCGTTGTGTCGTACCGGAAACCCCAAAGCCCTCTTTTGCCGGTCATGCCCGGTTACGTGAACATATAGCTTGGACCCTCAGACCATTTTTGGCTCTTGACTCACGATTATTTCGTGGTAAGATGAGCCCCCCAAAAATCGAAAAAAACACAAATAATGTAGAGACTTTAAGACGGAAAAATGGGACAGATTGAATTTGAAGTTGTGCGCTTAGATCGTTTTTGCTGCCCTATAGGTCTGACGATTGCAGTTCAAAACCTTTGCGCCGTGCTTTTGTCAAACCTTTTTTGAAAGGTCAATTCTTGGAATCCGATGGAAATCCCAAGGTTGTATTTACTTGTGCTCGGCAAATACTATGACCTGGGCCCCAGAAAGGGAACCAAAGATTTAGAGTGAAATTTCCAGAAACCATTTAGTAGAGAATCATGATTTTTCACTGCAACCCGTTTTCACTACAAAATGGGTACGCAAAGTCATTTTGTAGTGACCGACATTGGCTTTTGATCCACCATTAAAACCCCCAACCCATTTTGTAGCAAGGGGGGTTGGTTCAGATTCAAGCGTCATTTTGTAGTATAAGGCTGTTTTTGTAAACGGGGTTTAGTGGGCACAACTTCTCTGCAGAATGCACACAGGGATCTTTGTGCAAGCTTTGTAGTACAAAGTAGTACTGGGAACTGCTTTGTGCCAGCTTTGTAGTACAAAGTAGTACTGGGACATACTTTGGGCAAGCTTTGTAGTACAAAGTAGTACTGGGAAGTACTTGGTGCAAGCTTTGTAGCACAAAGATGTACAAAGTAGTACTGCGAGCTTTGTGCAAGCTTTGAAGTACAAAGTAGTACTAGGAACTTTCCTACTTTGTGCAAGCTTTGAAGTACAAAGTAGTACTAGGAACTTTCCTACTTTGCGCAAGCTTTGTTGTACAAAGTAATGCTGGGGAGCACTTTGTGCAAGCTTTGTAGTACAAAGTAGTACCAGGAACTGCTTTGTCCAAGCTTTGCGGTACAACGTATTTTGTAAAGGCTTTTCTGTGTAGATGCATCTGTGTCCCAAGTTTCTGTGTGGAAAAGTTTTCTGCGCGCAATGGTTTTTTGGGTTCAAGAGACTTCTCTCTGACAGTAAGAGTTTTCTGGCGTGCAGAAGGGCTGAGATGAGTGGAGAAGAACTTCGAGGAGATGAGACAGGTTGATCAGTGAGTGCTCGGATGAGATGAGAAGAGCTGAGATGAGGTGAGATGACGCGTGGAGTGTGAAGTGCGAAGTGTGAAGTGCGGGTTGTGAAGAGTGCAGTGTGAAGTGTGAAGAAAAGGTTCGCTTGGCGTTGCGTTGCAACGTGATCGCTCGAAGGTCATTTTCTTGGACAACAGCAGCGCAACAGGTTCGCACAGCACGCACGCACGGGCCTGGCTGGCGCACGGCGCATGCGAGTTCTATAGATGAACCCAAAGGCAACTTCCGCCTCGCCTCGTGCGGGTGCTACTGGTATATATGTTTTTTGGGCCCTATTTTTACCTTTTTTCACCGTTGTTCCTCTCCAGGTTTTTTCCTGTTTCTGATTATTTTTTATGTCCAGGGCCAGGCCAGTGCTTCACAATGTTTTGCAATATTTCACGAATTTCACACGCCCAAGGAGAGTCTACATGAAGGTCTCTTTGGGGGCTGGTCGGGCTGGTGTGTGGACTTGAGTCAGATGATGGAATTTGAGGAAGCGATGCTGCACAAGGAGATCCGGGTCCAGAGATTAACAGAGAACTTGGAACCGGCAGGTGCGATCAGTGAAATACGAATGCTTGTTCAGGAACTCAAAAATCAGGTACTAAAGTTGTACCAGGAGAGCAGTCAGAAAGATCAGCTCTTGTCCGACGCAAATTTCAAACTCCACATGTTGTCAACGACCTTGACACAAAAAAATCTTCAACTAGGCTTCTGTGACAGTTTCTGTGACAGTCTTGCCCTTGAGCAGGCGGATCGTCCGTGTTCATAGGAAGACAGTGCCACCGATTGAAATTCAGCGACAGAAAAGACGCGGAAACTGAGTTTCTCGAGAGTCTTCTAGGACCAAATTGGAATCAGACATTTGTTGCAACCTTTATATACCTTGGTTGCGATCTGTCCACTATTAGCAGCAAGTCAACTGGAAGTTTGGGTTCTACTCTTCACCATTTTGTTTGTGCGCGAGAGCATACAATGGATATCGATGGAGTGTAACTACCCCAGACTGTCGCTGTAGCTTAATCATGCATGATGCTGATATCATTTTGCTGGGTTTCATCAATTGTCCACCAATTCATAGATGATCAATGGATGTGATATTAATTGCCTTACCAGGCATGCTGAATCACATGTGCCAAGTTGCCATGGTTGGGTCATATCGCCGAAGGTCAGCGCTCCGGCGTAGTGCCAGCAGCGCCACGGGCAGCTATGGGGGTTCTGCCAGCGTTCCTGCAGGGCTCCCAGCTGAAAGTAGGATGCAAATGGATGCAACTCGTAAGCTTTCAAACCTTGTACTTTCGCATACTTTCGCCTTGCCTTCATCCTTTTCCAAACTTCAAGAAACACCAAGAATCAGTCAAATCAGTCAAATCATGTAATTAAATGTGATGTAAGATGTACGGTACTTTAAACATGATAAACATGTCATGATTGATAGGCTGAACATAGCTAGACGTTGCTTCAGTGCTTATGTAATTGCAACTGGCTTGAAGGCCAGCCATGGCCAGCCACAAATAGTCACCCTGTGTATTTTGTTCATTTGTGTTCTGAGGCTTCTCAGCTGGGACCCTGGCACTGCCACGAACAGTGTTCTATCATGTTCTATGCTTGTGTCTTCTTGTGAGGGGCTTGTGGTATTCATATGGCCTACCTTGTTCAAACAAAGGCAGTTGTACGCTACAGGATTCTTTTTGGCGAATCCGGCATAGGAATTGACATTTGCTGAGGTCCCTTATTGGGGACGACAGCATATATGATCATATCCGCCACCGCAATATGTGAGGTGCCAGTGGAAATTGATAAACTCATTGCGTGATGGCCCGTAGGGACTGTAAGGGATCCAGTGCTAAGCTCCTGCGCTTGTTTGCCAGTGCACTAAGGGAGCCCAGCGGCCCGAGCAGCCAAAGTGTCACTGTGTGTACCTCAAGTCCAACTTGTGAGATCACTATGTTTTGAACACGAGATAACACGAGGCCCCCTTCAAAGATAGCCCCTGCTCTGCCTGCTCTGGCTTGATTTTGATGGGAAAATCACTTGAGATTTTGATGGGAAAGTCACTTGGATGGATGGAATCTGATGGAATCTTTCTAACGGTCGTTTTCGGCCTTGCAACGAGCTACCTTCCTCATTCCTGGCTTTTCCACAAGTGTAGATGCTGTAGACTAATTATCTACATCTATATTATATCTACTATCGACGTGACACTTCTTACAACAAGGCCCCTGCCAGCGTGTTGGTCAACTCCTCAGCATTCAGAGCGCCAGTGCCCGCGTGCTGTGAAAGCTCCACTCTAAAGTTCGAGATGCCGTTGCGGGTTTGAACTTGGGCGGAGGGGCGTGAGCTGGGGAACCTCCAGCGCAAGAACGCCGAAAGGGAGGCCAAGAATGAGACACGGTGACGGATCATGATGGAAGTCAAGAGGTTTACTGTACGAGATGTGACATTGGCTGTGAGATGCTGTGACTATCTGTGACTTATGTGCTGATCAGATCTGACCAGTTTTTTTAAGTTTTTGCTTTGTATATTTTGTGTTCTCTTCGTGGCTTCACATCGGGCGCCTCTAAAGAGCTGGAGCGTAGAGCGGGGAGACAGGAAAAGAGATGACACCAGATGACACCACAGCGCAGTGATTTTTGAATGATTATATAATATGATATATATATAATATTACATTTTATTACTGCATTTTTGTCTTCCTTCAACCGATTCTTTTTCGTTCTTTTTTCGTTTTTGGGGATCGCAAGATATTTAAAGAGTTTGAAGGGTATGCCAGCACTAGCAGCTAGCAGCTAGGTTTGGCCTTGTTGATGCCTGGGATATGGTTCAATCCGTTCCTTAGTTGGAGAATGTAATGCTGAGTATTGAAGTGCAATCCTTTCTTGACTAGGATCGTATTTCAATCATTTTAGACAGAGAATGGCTGGGCCACAAACGAGCGATAGCCAGAGCAATGGTACCTTGGTAGCTGCATGAGCCATCAGCCATGGCCAGATCGGACTGTGGAGCAAAGCCATAGATCAACACGATCAACACGATCAACACGATCAACACGATCAAGACTATGGCATTCGCACATCAGTACTTTGAGCGAGTTGAGGACTATGTCGCGTGGATGTCAGATCCCGATCGAGTCGTGCATGTCGAGTGGCGAAAGGTGCGGCATGAGACTATTGACTGCAAGAGCTGCAAGCAGATGTAGGTCACACTTGGAGATAGTAACTTGCTATATCTTACTATCAGATAGTCACAGAATAGCCATGTAGCAACAAAGGCTTCAAAACGCGGTTTCCCATTAAGATCCTGTTACAAATGCATGCTATGCAAGCTAATGCTGAGTAATGCTGCCAGTAAAAATATTGATTGGTCAGACCAGATGTTTTTGATGATGTCTGATGGCTTTAAGGAAGAGCAGAGGATTGACGTCGCATTCCTGGTTGGAAATTCGGCTCTTGGATGATAGACGGGTGAGACTGGAAATTTATGCCGACCGTGGCTACACAGAGTCCCAAAGCCTGCAATTAGCCGACAGATGCATGCAGATATTCTGAGTTCTGTACACATGTTGCCGTGTCCAACTTGTTGATGTAGATGATCTTGACTTTCTCCATAGCTTTCTTGTATTCGTTCTAATAGCAGCTTTGTAGGTCCCAGGTTAGAGTGGTAGCGTTGGTCAAACACCGAGCCAGCAATGGCTGAGGGGAAGAAGGAATGGTTTAACGGGTTTATTCCACCAAGGTTGCTTCCACAATATTCACCTACAATCACAAACAAAACAGTACATTCGCTTGATATTGAAACGTGCTAACACAATGCCAATACATGTAATATATACCCTCAACTACTTAAGGTCTAGAAGGCCCCCCCTGGAGGGGCTAGGGTCTAGAGGTCTAGACTGATAATTAGAGCATTGTAGACCCTTCCCAGTGGTACCATTCTAGACCCTTGGAATTTGGAGGTTTTGAAGCTAGCAAAAAATGAAATATAAAATCATAGCATTCTGGGGCCCTACTGTCAGGAAGCCATATTTTTTTTGGTTCACCCCAAATCCCTAGCAACACAGATTGGAAGCAAAAATAAAGGGATTCTGAAAGAGAGTTTTTGGATGGTTCTGAAATATGATACGGAATATGTTTAGTTTTCGAACAGGTTTTTTCAAAACTATCATCATCCATGGCATCCATGGCATCCTTTAGTTTTCAAAATCGTTTGGTCCCGCGCTTCTCCTCCTTCGGGGGCATCTCTTTCTTCAACCACACCATGGCACGTTGTGACTCCTGCCAAATTCAAGGAAATCAGGGCCAACAAAAATTAGATCGACTGCTTGAGGGGTCTGGACTTGAATCATACCAGGGGCACAGCTTTATCACATAAAAGAGCGCCAAGGCAAAGCATTCAAGACCCCACAGGTTGAAAATACATCTGGACATTACCTCACCACACACATGGCTGGGCACACCAAATTGATAGTCAACAACATGTTCTGCGTGCATCCAAGGTCTAGCTTCAAATCCAATCAGGGCCCCACAGGCATCTGAACACCACATCCCAAAGTAAACCAAAGGAGACCCCGGCTAGCAAAATGACTTCAAAAAAATCGACTTCAAAAAAATCTCTAATTTAGGTGAACACCGTCAACAAATGTGAACAGCATGGAATGTCTCATGTTGATACTTTCAAGATCTTTTAAGCATCACCTTGAGTAACCAATGCTTTCTGCAAATGATTTCACAGCCTTCAACCACATCAAAGCCAAGCAGACAACGAAGCATAGGGTCTAAAATGTTTTTCACCCAGCGTATCTTGACCTCTGTGTCCTTGTAAAAACACACAAACCTTGTCAGACCCTTTACACCACCTAACTCCTTAACAGGAACTATGGAAAAAATAAATCGAAGGGTCTGGACTTGAATCATACCAGGGGCACAGCTTTATCACATAAAAGAGCGCCAAGGCAAAGCATTCAAGACCCCACAGGTGGGTAAATACATCTGGACATTACCTCGCCACACACATGGCTGCGCACACCAAAATGATAGTCAACAACATATTCTGTGTGCATCCAAGGTCTAACTTCAAATCCAATCAGGGCCCCACAGGCATCTGAACACCACATCCCAAAGTAAACCAAAGGAGACCCCGGCTGGCAAAATGACTTCCAAAAAAAATCGACTTCAAAAAAGAACACTAATTTAGGTGAACACTGTCAACAAATGTGAACAACATGGAATGTCTCATGTTGATACTTTTAAGATCTTTTACTGTAAGCATCACCTTGAGTAATCAATGCTTTCTGCAAATGATTTCGCAACCTTCAACCACATCAAAGCCAAGCAGACAACGAAGCATAGGGTCTAAAATGTTTTTCACCCAGCGTATCTTGACCTCTGTGTCCTTGTAAAAGCACACAAACCTTTTCAGACCCTTTACAGCACCTAACTCCTTAACAGGAACTATGGAAAAAATAAATCGAAGGGTCTGGACTTGAATCATACCAGGGGCACAGCTTTATCACATAAAAGAGCGCCAAGGCAAAGCATTCAAGACCCCACAGGTGGGTAAATACATCTGGACATTACCTCACCACACACATGGCTGGGCACACCAAACTGATTGTCAACAACATGTTCTGCGTGCATCCAAGGTCTAACTTCAAATCCAATCAGGGCCCCACAGGCATCTGAACACCACATCCCAAAGTAAACCAAAGGAGACCCCGGCTGGCAAAATGACTTCCAAAAAAATTCGACTTCAAAAAAGAACACTAATTTAGGTGAACACTGTCAACAAATGTGAACAACATGGAATGTCTCATGTTGATACTTTTAAGATCTTTTAAGCATCACCTTGAGTAATCAATGCTTTCTGCAAATGATTTCGCAACCTTCAACCACATCAAAGCCAAGCAGACAACGAAGCATGGGGTCTAAAATGTTTTTCACCCAGCGTATCTTGACCTCTGTGTCCTTGTAAAAACACACAAACCTTGTCAGACCCTTTACAGCACCTAACTCCTTAACAGGAACTATGGAAAAAATAAATCGAAGGGTCTGGACTTGAATCATACCAGGGACTGTCAGGAAGATGATCAGGCTGAGGAGTCTGATAATTCAGGGTCGGACTGATCTACTTGAAAGCCATTTTTTTGAAAACCATTTGGAACAGTTTTGAGCTACCTCCATTTTTTGAAAGCAATTTGGAACAGTTTTGAGCCACCTGTTTTTTGTTGTGTCCCTGACCCGGTAGGATGACATAGAATGGGGATCAGACTGCGCTGTCTTTTCACTTGGGATTGCAAAATGCTCACCAGCGGCGCATGCAAAAATATGCAGACATGTCATGCATTTGGCGCAGATGAAAAGTTGGACTTTTTGGAGCATATGTAGAGGCAGGGGGAAAACCATAGTAGACCTTAAATACTGGACCAGCCCAAAGGTCTAGATGAACGAAATTATTTTTACATTCCCCCTGGTCAAACAACCCTTTAGACCCCACATTTAGGGTCTACACAGAAGTAACCCCCCCCCCCCCAAGTAGCTGAGAGTATTGTAATATATTAATGGTGATTGCATGATCTCACTCTTACACTCATGCACAGATGGTACTTGCATGTGGTAATTTCATGTAATCTCATGATGTATAATCTTGTATATTTTTACATACATGAGACCCCCTATGCATGTTAATTATACATCATGAGGATAGATAGTACATGATATCTACTACTGGTACCATATGTGCAACTAATCCATCAACACGTTCAACACAGATTGTTAGATGTGTGCGAGATGTGTGTTCGTCAACATGCGGTCTGAATGTTAGACTTGTTTCTTCATCTTCACGACTGTCAGTCAGTGGCTTGAAATTTCCATGCAATGGACTCTTGCTGTGAGCCATTCCGAACCAACTTGAATCAACCAAGAAAACATTCATGAAGAGATTATGTGTGTCCGTCGGTGTGCCTAATTATGTTGGTGTGTCCTTTTCTTCGATTGGCTTTTGATCCTTGAGGCTCAACTTTGATCCCCGCCAGCCATCTTCTGAGAGCATGCGGTTCTTTGACCCAGAGAGCACAATCTACGACGGTCGCGTTGCAGGGCTGCAGGAGTTGGCCCGGCCGTTGACAGCCGACATCCTGAGGAAAGAGGCCAAACAACTTGCGAAGCGGCCATACTCCCTGAGCGAATTTAACTGTGCTTTGTCTGATTTGTCTGCGATGTACGCAATTGTGCCATAAATATGCACTATTATGATCTATTATGATTATTATGTGCAATGATGCTCTCCCCAATGCTGCACTCTTTCGTTTGCACAGCCCCAATACTGGCCATTCAAGTACATGCAATTCCTGTGTTCATGAGCTTTGTTGTCTTTGTTCTGGCAACCTTTTTTGAACTGTGAACGCTGCGAGGTCATCATTTTGTCCTGGAATTGTGGAACAGCATTGTCGTGTCTGCCTTGCAATCATCACATTACCCGGACCGTGCCAAGATTGGGATCCTCTGGGGTGTCGAGGAAGTCATCGGTCACTGGTTCCAGGGCGGCGGCTCGTTGGCCTCGGTGGGAGCGCCCAGACAGTCAGCCACTGGAGCCATGGCAGCCATGGGAACTGATAGATCTGATAGATCCGATAGATCTGATAGGCTTCCTGGGCGGCTCCCTGAGTGCTTGGAGAACGTTTTTGTGTTGGAGACCACTGGACCTATGAGGCTGGCAGAGTTACCACCAGCTTCATCGCCAGATGTTCATCGATCGCGCTGGGCTTCGATGTGGCCAGGCCTGGAGGAACATGCCCTGCGCTTGGTGGAGATCATCTACAAATTTGATATTGAGGAAGTGGCAAAATCTTTGGATATCCAACTTCCAAGCAGCTCTTTGGCTCGGTTTTCTTCCCTGTCGTCGGTGTCAGGCTGGGAGCACT